GTGACAATCATAAAAAAATGGCAAATGTAAGTGACCAGAGTGAATCGTCTTCGTCATCCGAGGAAAGCGACAATGATAAAAAAATAACGTGTTTACAGTAGATGAACAAAGTGAATCAGAATCATCATCGTCAGAAGAAAGTGAACCAGAATCATCGTCAGAGGAAAGTGACAATAATAAAATGTAGATAATCAGAGTGAATCGGAATCATCATCTGAGTCAAAGGAAAGTGACAATGATCATCCGGAGAAAGTGACAATGATAAAATAAAAAATAAAAAAATACGCGTTTAGATGAACCAAGTGAATCAGAATCTTCATCGTCAGAGGAAAGTGAACCAGAGTCATCATCGTGAGGAAAGTGGCAGTGATAAAAAAATGGCGAATACAGATGACCAGAGTGATTCGACTTCATCATCCGAGAAGAGTGACAATGATAAAACAAGTAAAAAAATATACAGCTATTATCATAATTTTTGGGACACCTGATAAAATTCGATTCGGTTAAGTTATTGATTTCGTCATGATTGGTATATGAAAAATATATTTTTTTATATTACATATTTCTTATACGTATATCTAAGTCGAATGTATAACTTTTTAAATTGTTGTACGACTAATTTTATATCCCAACTAAAGTTCTATTTCGGATTGCAATTCATACAAATAACAATCAAGTTTTTCTTTCATTAAGTTTTAAGATATTTTTATATTGTTCGTGTTTAATAAATGTGGTTTTCTTGAAAGTGATGGAGGTTTTTCAATATCTTTGAGAACCCGACCTGTAGAAGACTTACTAACACCTAAGTGTTTGGCAATTTTTCGAATTGATAAGTCTTCTAAAATTTTTTTAACTATTTGCCAGCGAAGATACTTTAAAAGTAGCATAATTCTGTATTCAACCAGAGATATGCATATCGATATATAGCCTTATAATACTGTAATATTTATATTAGTCATCTGCTTTTAAATTACGTACATATCTGATATCAGATATATCAATTTATCTGTTACTAAGGGTGCTCTCAAGCATCTCTCTCAGTGTAATTAGCTAGCTATAAAGATCGTGCACAAGTACTACGATTAATTGAAGTAAACCTTACGGTAATTTTGTCGAAAATTCACGTTGCGAAATGCGGATATTAAATTTCAGCCAATCAGCACAACTCTATGATAAAAGATAGTTTCTGACTATCTTTTTTTTTTATCGCGATAATGAACTCACTTGACCAAATAATTTATTTTCCACTAATTAATTATGTAAGTGATAGCGAAAATTTAACCCTTACATATTTTATAAATTATTACATATTATAAGTAATTTAAGAGTCATCGATTACAAATAAACTATAATAAATATTGAAGCTGGCGTATTGATTTTACCATAAATTGTAAGAATATGTAAGAATATGTTAAAATATGTAAAAATATATAAGAATCAGAGACCCATAAAATTTTGGTTTTAAAAAAATTTTTCTAATAACAAAAAATTTAGCCAAAATTTAGTTTAAATTTATTTAAATTTAGAATTATATTATTTTGCGCGGATGTGTTTTGCGCACCCATAGGATCTGGCATAACGTGAAATCAAAACAAACTAATGACACATTATAAGGGTTAGCACTAATTTATGATCAGGTTAGATTTTAGTAAATGCTAGTCATACCTGAAATTTTGCAAGAAATTTTTTTTGTTAGTACACAAAAGATGGTTTCATAACCAAAATTATGAGTTACAAGCGATTTTTTCAAAATATCGCTATTTTTTTCGATTTCACGTTATATCTGATCTTATGATCTGATTGGTCAATCAGGTGGGTGCATTACAATGCATATGCGCTAAATTATATAACTCTTAAATTTAATAAATTTTGATAAATTTTAATTTAATTTAATAAATTTTAATTTAAATTTGGAAAAATTTATAGGTTCATTTTTTTTTTGTTAAAATACAATATTGTAAGAATTTCAATAAATCAGTATTTAAGTTTTGCTGATTGTTTTGAAGATTATTATAAGAATGCAAGTTTGTAATTAATATAATTACAGAATAACAGTGGGTTTGTATTACTGAAATTTTGTGTTTTCAGCAATATTTTATTATTTATAGTACTGATTTTTAATGAGTATCTTTTTTTTTATCTTATTAGATCTTTGTTATTACACAAAAACTATATCATTTTGTATAGGTGTTTTTATTATTGTACCTATGTGCTGCTTATTGTTGCTTATTGCTATTCATTGTTATGCTTTGCAAATCAGATCTTTAAGCAAGAGAATATTTAATGTCCCAGAATAGAAGTTCGTGAATCGAAAAGTCCTTTACCTTCAGTCTTTATGATATTTGCAATAACATTTGTTGT